TGATTACTTCCTCATGTTGTGTTGGGTGCTAATCTCCAGGCAGAGTTGTTTGCTTGTTTGTTCCCATTTTTTGTCACCACAATCACTAATCTCCAGGCAAACCTTATTTACTTCCTTGTTTACCATTCAAACCTCGTTTCCCCTTTGTTACAGCTAATAGCTTCAGAAATCGGTGTTACGTGCTTGTCTCTGACTGGGGGGGAGGCGGTGAGTAGTGGCATGGGTGGACACAAAACAGAAAGACCGAGAGGAAATTTGCAGGTGAAATGGAGCTGGAGAGAGTGACTGAGAGGCAGAAAGACAGCACTGTTGTGCAGAGGGGCCCGTGGAATTTTTCCATCCTCAGTGAGTTTAAAAACTGCTGAAGACCATAGGATAATAGAGAATACTCATAGAACCATAGAATGGCTTGGTTGGTAGGGACCTTAGAGACCTCCAGCCCCATGTGGTGGGTAGGGCTGCCACCCACCAGCTCAGGCTGCCAGGGTCCCATTCAACCTGGCCTTGAACACCTCCAGGGATGGGGCATCTACAGCTTCACTGGGCAGCTTTTGCCAGTGTCTCACCACCTTCCAAGTAATGAATTTCTTCCTGACATTCAACCTAGATTTCCCCTCTTTTAATTTAAAGTCATTTTCCTTTTATTTGAGGAAGTGTAGTGGCACCTCACAGTGAATTTCTTATGCCTGGTCCATGACCCCTGCATCTCATACTGCTGTTTTTTTCTTCTTTATGAAAAAGCATTGAGTTCCAGCTTGCTCTACTGTAACTAAATAAAACTGCCTTCTTACTGAGTTCATAACACTTGTAGCACTTTGGATTAATTATATGGTTATTAGCCTAATGGAACCAGCCAGAGAAAGTAATTAAAGACATCTTGAAATAAGTTGGATAAATGGTAGCAGAAGCGTTGTGCTTTAAAGCTCAGAGAAAAACCATTTTTAAAACCCGTCTTAAAAAAAAATCGGTTAAAATTCCCCAAATGCAGTGAAATAAACTATAGATTTTTTATTGACCAAATGATATTTTAGTAAAGATTAGAAGATAAAATGTCAATGTGAATCCTATTGAAGTAAAAAGTCTCTTTATTTCTAAGAAAATCTTTTCTAAACTTTTCTTACTTCTTAATATTTGTTGTATTAAAGGAGTCAAAACTGAATTATTTTAACTGGGCACTTAAGGCTCAAAGTCTTTTTAGAAAAAACAGCAACTGAGAATCAGTCACTCAAAATCCATGCTGTGGAGCATCAGTTTTGTGTCACAGAGTTCATGCCTCCTTCCCTGTTTTTCTAGTACCGAAGTACATTTCCAAATCAAAATGCTGTTTAATTAAATTAATTCTTACAATAATGTTTCTGTACCACATTTGGTTTTATATATACATATATTCACATATGTATGCTTATGTACTTTGTTATTTCAAGACGTGCAAGTCTGCAGATCCTCATTTAATAAAAGCTGGCAATATGCAGAAAGCCATATACAGTGTGCTTTAAAATCATTAAATGCTGAATGGCTTGCAGGAGATGTAGGTGTTGCCAATTTCAGTAGAATGCTTTTCTTAACCACCAGCAGCTTAATTTTCAGTTTCTCCAGGTGTTATATTCTTTTACACTTCCTTACATCCGTGATAGGTTCAAGTAGTAATTATGTTCCTAGCTCTGTCCCTGTTTATTTTAACACCGTAACCACAGAGAATAATATTTCACAGCTGGTAGTTCAGCTAGATCCTGTGCAGCTGTGAATATCAAGGCCAGCTCAAGCCTTCTTCTCAGTGCTGTTCTCTTCTTCCCTCTTCCAGTTTTATGGACATCAGGAATAGTCAGTAGTGGCCTGAGATTTAGCACAGTTGTGCTTATAGTACAGCTTCACAGATTGGCCTGGTTTTATTTTGCTTTTCTAGCTTTGATAATTAAGGGAAATATTGTCATGATGAGTATAAAGGTTTTCAAACCCTCATTTGTCTCATATCCAGAAACATAACCAGCTTCTTAAGGATATTATTGCTGATAGAATTTATAGGTCTTTGTTGTAATACTTGTGGCTCTTGAGACTAATTAATCAAGACTGAAATGCATGTGCTTAATTTTTGTGAGGCCGAGTGATGGGAAACACATAATTAGCCATTTCACTCAAGTGTGCAGATGATGGTTCAGTGACTAATTTTGTGGTCACTGAATCACAACCTTATGTCTCTTTCTCATATTTAAACACTTCAGATTATGATAGTTCTTATATCTAAAGCCTTTCTAGGCTTAAAGATCTATTCATGCTTAGCATTTTAATAGCGGCCTCTTTTATGCTTTTTTAAGAGAGAAATATTCTTTTTCACTTACAAATTTATAATGTACGAAGTACTTTAGTTATAGGTTAAACATAATTATTATATATAGTTTGATGTTCTTAAGGTTGTGGAATGCAGTGTGACAAAAGGTTTGATTCTGTGTGTAAAATTTGTAATTATTTGCCATGTCATGTTCCATTATACAAGTTTGCATTACAAGTTCCATTATACAAATTCTGACATCAGTCGTAGATTTAATGCTTCCAAATGTTTACTTTCAGACACTTTGGAAATGTTTCACCTTAATGCAATAAATTATAGGAAAAGAAAAGGTTACTTGCATAATTTTTTTTTTTTGAAAACATTTGTTCTGTGCTTTGTCATTGCTCTGAGGCATTTATTCATGTATCATCAATAGCCTCAGGTGTCATCTAGGAACTTCATTTTGACGTGATAAAAATCTTGAAAATTACATCACTAAAATGAAAATGGCTGTTGGATGAGAAAAAAATTAGTAACTTGAAAAGTTTTTATTTCCTGCCTAAACATCCGTGTCTGTTTGAAAGCATTAATGCAAGGCAGCCATAGAATCATAGAATGGCCTGGGTTGGAAAGGACCACAGTGATCATCTGGTTTCAACCCCGTGCTCTGTCCACCAGACCAGGCTGCCCAGTGCCATATCCAGCCTGCCCTTGAATGCCTCCAGGGATGGGGCATCCACAACCTCCTTGGGCAACCTGTTCCAGTGTGTCGCCTCCCTCTGTGTGAAAAACTTCCTTCTGAGTCCAGAGTGCCTCTGCAGTCCACAGTGTCAAAAACATTCCTAATGTGGACATGGGAATTCTTCTGCTGGAAACCATAAAAACTTCCTTTTCAAGTATAAAAACTCCAAAATCTTTATGTGTTAGTCCCAAATAGTCAGGAGTTATCGTACTTCAGATTGATTATACGTTATCTGTCCTGGGTATTCAGCGTAGAAATTAATTTTTTTTGAAGTAGAAGAGATAAATGCACAGCAAACATGGATTGAATCCTTTTTTACTTCATGTAGCAATATTGAAAGTTCGTTGTTCCTCCCATGTGAGACTGAAAATATGGCTGTTTTGGTCTTTGTAATACTTGGCTATGAAATTAAAATTGAGGGGAACAGGATCTGACTGTGAGTCAGTGTGCAGAGCAGATGAAGGGGCCACAAAGAAACATCCTTTTCCTTTCAGCCCCAGGTCTTTATCATTGCTGTCATATTTTGTAATTGTAGCATATGAGTGCCAGACTGTGAGCTGCTTTGATTAAGATTAAAATGGTGGTGTTACTTGCTTTAAAGCTTTTTCCTATTTTCTGCTCTATTTTCTATTGATGTTTCTAAACTGAGACTTTATTGCAAATTATTTTCAGCGAATTGTCTCATTATTCTGCATAGAGTCATTCATTCTCACCTTTATCCTTTTGGAAGTAATTATTGACTCACATATTTTGATGTTGAAATAATCTCCAAATTGTGTTCCTTTCTGTAGTGCCTGACTTCATAGAGCCTGAAAAATTATTTGCCCTAGGAAATGGGTTCAGATTCATCCTCTCACAGAAACTTGACATTAATAGCGATAAACAGAACTAATCAAGATAATTCTCTTGCACAGGATATAATGCACTCTTCTACCTCTCATCCCAATAATCCATTAAATATGTCATTTTGAGCCAAATGTTGTGGAAACAGACAGTTTACCATGCAGTATGTCAACTGATCATAACTTCTCTGCTCTGCACAATTCTTTTTTCATCTGTGATTGCCTAATTGTTTTTCTAGCCTGCTGAGAAAATACTCCTTGGCATCTTTCAATTGTGCGTTTGCTCAGGAGCTTACAGTGTTGGTAATGCATAATGAGTGTTCATAATTAAAGCTACAGGTAGCAAAATATCTAACTATGGATAGGATGTTGTGCTGAAAAATAGTGTTACAATCAAAGCCAATCCTGGATTTCAGTTGCAGAAAGCAGAATTGGAAAGCAGACGTGGAAATCTTAGCCAAGAAAGAGACGGTGCTGTTGTCTTTTGTTAAGCCAATGAAGCACACACTTCCAGTGTTCAGAGCTAGCTAACAGTGGAGGAAAAAAAGCTCCCTAGCAACAGAAGGTTGTGAAATAAAAGATTTAAATGCACTTTAAAGTTAAGGGAATGGTATCTGTCAATTTAAAAATCTAGAAATCAATTCTCTGTCATAGCTGAAAGGCAAATCAAAGAGCTCAGAAATGTCTTCAGAGTGAAGATGGGGAAAAAAGTTTCTCCCGTGCGCGCTTCTTTCACTGCGAGCTGTGAGATGTTTGCGCTGTTGGTGTGCATCTGGACTTCCATAGGCTTCTGAGAAATGTCTTGCTTTTAAGGGAATGCAAGTGCTGATACATTTTTTATTAATGGCCCTGCTATAGGTCTGTGTCTGTGGAGTTCCAACTCTGCAGATCTTTTTTTGCTAAATTTGGACTGCAGGCTGTAGTCATCACTGACACTTTTGTTTTTTTTCATGCTGTAAAATGGCAATGCTGGAATCAGTCTTGCACACAGTGCCCTTCTGGCAAATGGACTTTGCAGAACACATGTAAAACAGTTACAGCCATGTAGTTTTGCAAAAAAAAGGCCAGTCTCTATTCTAAACACAGGTAAAAATAAAGAACTTTTGTAAAACAATAGGAGTAATCATTTCTTCAATGGTGTCTTGTCTAGGTTTGTAATTGGCCGAGAAAAACCAGGGCAAGTGAGCGAGGTTGCACAGCTGATTAGCCAAACTCTGGAACAAGAACGCCGCCAGAGAGAGCTCCTGGAGCAGCATTATGCACAGTATGACGCAGATGATGATGAGGTAACTTTCCAGTGTTTCAATCTGCAGAGGGTTTCAATGCTCTGCTTTCTGTTTTCCTGGTTCCTGCTTTTTAAGTGTCACTCAGAGGTCAGCTTTGCACATCTCCATTATCCCTGCCACTGATTTTTAGATTTTGGTGATAAGCCCAATGTGAAGAACAAAGCTTTATAGCATGGATTTAAGATATCTATTTTGTTTCATAAAAAACATATATAAATTGTGTTGATGTTTCTGTAAATTATTGCTCTTCCCAAGGCATCTGCTTTGTTTGAAATAAGGGAATAAGGCTGGTTTGCTTGTGCATGTTTTAAAACGTTCTTTTTCTGTGGACACTGGTAAAAGTCACCTTCCAACTGTTATTGGGAAGATTTAAACCTTATCTTTTTTCCTAGAAACATTAATGATGTTTGTGATTCAGAACATTAAGAAATGTTCTGAAAATTCCAAGTAAGACTTCTCCTTCTTTTTTTATTTATACGAACAGCTGTCCCACAGGATAAAGGATTATTCTTCCTTGTCAGAAGCATTTATTGATGTTCATGATTAGTGCTTGATGTCCCAATGCAAGGGTTCTGAAGCTATCAATTTTATTTAGTAAACTTTCCATATTTTTTCTGTTCTCTTAAAATTCCCAGCATGCCTGAATTCCAAGTTACTTAGAAGGACTGATGAGAGATCTTTCTCAGAGACTACTGTTTCACCCCTAAGTTAGCTGCTCGGTTACATTAAGGTAAAAGCAGTTGCTGTAGCAAAGCACTTTCACGTAGCCTGAGCATGCAACCTTCTTTTCACATTCTCTTCAACAATATTATTTGAAATTCCAGACTCCATGTATTAGTGAGTTTTTGCCCAGGCCGACATTTTTTTGTTTGTTTGGTTGGTGAAGAAGAACATCATAGAATATTTTGAGCTGGAAGGGACCCATATGGATCACTGAGTTCAACTCCTGGCTCTACACAGGACCACCCAAAATCATCATAGAATCATAGAATCACAGAATGGCTTGGCTTGGAATGACTCCATGGATCATCAAGTTCCAAAGATGAGGAGAGACAGAGAATCTGTGTGATGCATTTAATTCAGATTAGTTCTCTTTCAGGTCCTGAGACTAGGCTTCTAAACAGAGAAACAGGAGAAAAGTACTCTAAAGTAAAATAAGGATACTTTTATTTTGACACACACTGTTAGTCTAGCAGGTAGCATCTGAAGTATCCCAGAAAACTTGGTAAAAATTGTCTGGCCCAATGATGCCTTCAGTCACTTCGATTTCCACTGATGTTAAAAATAGAATATTTGAATATGTATTAGATTAAATCCTACCATAGGTGCATATTTAACTCATATGAATACAAATTGTATGTATTTGGAATGCACATTTGTGTGTGGCTGTGTGAGGCCATAAAGGCTAGAAAATCCAAATCCTCTCTGTTTTCTCCACAGCATATAAACATGCAAGTATTTTGACTCCTGTTTATTCTATATCTAAAATAAAGTTGCTGAATGATTTCTTGAAGGACAGCTAACCTCACCTCAGAAATAGAGACAACTCTCTCTAGCTTTTGGAACAAGAACCTTCTTATCACAGCTCTGTACTGAGGATGGTGCCATGTCTGTGACCATGAGATGTACATTTTGGCCGTTAGCTTATGCAGTGCAAAAGGTACTTTTATGCATTATGTGAGGAAAAGAGGAGGAAGAAAGGAAAAGGGATCTACTAGTGGAGATCCAGAGTGTCATCAGAGATCTCTTTTGGAAGGAGAAGTAATTAGGCTTCTGAACAAATGTAGAAATGCATCAGTTCTCAAAAACAGCCTTGGGATCACTGAAGGTCATACCCATTTCCTCCATGACTGTATGGGTGGGAAGTGGTAAGCCTTATTCTTAGAATAGACAGATATAGTTTCTAAGGTATGCAGTGAGGCATGTTTGCCTTCTGAACAGTATTATTAAGAAACCTGAAGCAGTCCTGAGTATGTTTCATTTTTTTTACCTGAGTATGCCTTCCAGGTAAACTCACATAACATGCACCCAAGCAATTCCCACATTGGGATCTGTACTGTAATGCATATTAGCCACAGTTCAAAGACATCTTTTGGTCACTACAAGCTCTTCTCCATTTGCTGTCAAATGCGAGCGCTGGTACTTGAGCTCACCTTACTCTGTTCGGTCAAATGTGGCTGTATCTGTACTCCACTACCAGTTTTGTGTTCTTTGGCTCTGGAAAGCATGCCATCCCTTGGGCAAGAATATCTCAGCTTACACGGTCTGAATGAATAGGCATCCATGAATGTACCAAAAAACCCTACAATGTCAAGTCCATTTGCTCACAGTACTTGTGTTTCTGACTGTGTGAAGCTCAGGAGTATTAGAATTTCCAGTGTAAGGAGTGTCTTGCTGGTATGAGATGGAATTATGCAAGAGTTGTTCACCCTCAGAGCTATCAAACCATCCTATTCATTTTCATACAGTATTTAAAATGAGGTGGCAGGGATTCCAGCTGCGCTGCCAAATAAATAAAGAAGAAAATTATCATTATTCAGCCCTCCACTGAGGCTGTCAAATTCTGAGCCTACTTTACCACAAAGACAGCAATGTCTTATCAGGTTTCCTGAGCAGGAAATCAGCAATCTGAGTCTGAGTCCTAGAGATGCTGCATGTGACTATGGTTGGTAAAGCTATGAGCTGATGAAATGACAGGCAGAGAGCATATTCCAGGCATGTTCAGGTCTGGGTATTTTATCTTGCTGGTTTATTAGCTGGTTGTCATTTCACTGATTTGAATATTAGTAGTCTTTATGGTAGCCCAAGCAGCATATAATCATTCCAGAAGAATCAGAGCTCTTTAACATAGCAGCATTACTGAGAAAATTTTGACTTGTGTCAACCGGCATGGCATCAGTCAGGTACTGCTTTAGATAGATACTTGTTTGTCTGCAGTACCTTCTCATTCCTTCACCTTGCTGGAATGTTTCAAGTGAATTAGAATCAGTAATATCAGTAATTTCTCAAGTACTGCTTAGGTGTGGCAGTGCTGGCAATACATACAGCAGGTCATGTTTCCTTATAAGCCTGTGCTACCTCAAATAAATATGAGAGAATATGTTGTTTCAGGTGCTGCCTGTGTATAGCCCGCTGCAGAATTTACTCATCACCAGTTCCTCTGGCTTTCTAAAACTCCACATACCTTTAATTTCTTGCATCCTGTCAGAAAACAAGCCTCTAAAGCTTTGAGGGAGGCACTGTCTTTGTATTTCCTACCTAGTATACTGAATTATCCTGAATCTGTATCCTTGACTGAAACCTTTAGACTTTGCTATGTTGATACCATGTTCTCTGCACACTGTAGTCAAATTCTGACATTTCTTGGAATTATAATTTGAACGTGGTACCATCTTCTTCATGTTCAGCAGTGAGGGGCAGATGTTAGATCAAGCAGATGACCAGCTCGCCTGAAAGCTGCCTATGGTAATGCAGGATGTGAGATTATTAATGTGGTGCAAAATTCTCTTCTCACTTTGTCCAAGTCAAGTGCAACGCAAGTGAAATCTTCATGTCTTTTAGTAGCATAGATAGTTGTTTGAGTGTTTTTTTCATTTTTAATTCTTATTTATCAAGACATTCTGAGAGGAGAGCACAGTAGGAACATTGAAGACAATCATGAGACACAAAAAGAAAAACAGAGCTTCAGTGTCTAAAATGCAAAGAATACATTGGTAAGACAAGATCTTTCAGGGAGTACAGTTTGTCTGACATTAATATGAATTAGTTCTATGAAAGCAATGATTGATACTATAGAATACTTTTTCTTTGCTCCTTTCAAATAATTGAGTTTAAACTGCAGAAAAATCAAATGAAGAGGTGGATTTGAGTTATTTTTATAGTTCTTCAAGTGGTATTCTCTGATGGTGGGACAGTTTCAGCACAAACAAAAGATTTAGCTTGATGTACCCTTTGTTACTGTGATTGGGAAAGGTCTGTCTGCATTTTCTTGGCTGGTGCTGCTGGTGCTTCTTTGTGCTGGTGAGGGTTCTGCCTGTTTCAACAATTTACAGCGCAGTTAAATGTGAGTACTGCCTTCTCCCTTTTAAAATGAGAAGTTGCAGTTCATGTTTATAAAGATAATTTCATGCTGCTTGCTATGATAGTGTATAGCAAAATTAAACAGCTACTAGCAGAAGCTGTTCCTCTGGCTGGGGAAACCTTGAGGTCTGTGTACTACTAAAATGATAAATAGGCTCACCTGTTGTGCATGAGTGAATTCTGCTCACCTGTAAAGACTGAAGAGACTGAGATTTTGCTTCAGGAGCATGTAAGTTTTCAGTTATTGTACAAAAATATTATTGTTGTCAACTAGGAAAACAAAATGAATTACTAAGAGCCTCAAGCAGTTACAGTAACAGCTGTTACTTTAAAAAGCTTTGTTATATTGAAATTAGGTGACCTTTGTCTGCTTCTAGCTGCTTCATGTAAAACACTAAATTCCTTGTTCTAATTTACTGGCACAAGGTCTGAACATCTTTTGGTAGGTTCATGTGATGTAAAAGCAGGGATAATTCATTCAGGGAAAGTATGTATTGTGCAGTTTAAAACATCTGTTTCTTTAAAGCATACATTGGTTCTTTTGAACCTGTTATTTGTGCTTTGTGTGATTATAAGATGGGGACATTGTCTTTTGAAGACGAGCAAAAGCCCCATTTGTTTCTGTCCTGTCTAATGTTTCTGTATCATCCCACTGCCTTGTTTACTACAGCAAACTGCAGTGTTTTGCTTTGATGACAATTTTTTGTATTAACTGAAGCAAAAATAACCTTGTCCGCTGACGCTCAGTCAAACACTTCACAGCAAGGTTTTCCTTTATGTTTATTCTAATCTGCCTGATGTACCTCTTCAAACACTGTGTCTCCTGAGGCCAGTAGAGCTCTTGAAATTTTCCCCAATATAACTCAGTTTGTTTTTTTTTTAATTATTTAAATCTTTGGAGCCATCAGTTGGACCAGTCAAGATGTGGCTTGTTCCTTCCCTTCCCTTCCCTTCCCTTCCCTTCCCTTCCCTTCCCTTCCC